GATAATGGAGGGTGACAACACTAGGGGATTCAAAGATACCTCATTGAGCATAAAGATCTAAACGAATGCAGACATGTTTTAAAAAGGAGATAACATTTTTGTGGCTGTCATAGGTTTTAGTGCATGTGTTGAACCTTATGTGAGAAAACAACCTCATAGGCAGAGGATATATTTCTGTCAGCTTTGTAGATAGTCCTGGAAATCAATAAGGTCCACTCAGGCAAAAAGAGGGGCATTAATACAAGGAATTGGTTGTACTGGTGATGAAAGACCTAGGATCCAAACAGGATATGAAGAGGCCACCCAGAGATTACTAACAGCAGGAAGCCACCTCCACCTCTAGGCCCGAGAGCCAATGGGAGGAGACGACGTTAACCAGAGTCCAGAAGTTTTGGGCGAATGATAGGCGGTAAAGCCATGGTAGTGGCTGTTCAGCCAGTGTTGGGATGTTGGAGGGAAGGGATGGGGAGCTGGAACCTCAAAAGAGATGTAGCTACTGCCAGAGACACTGCCAGAAATAGAGCCATTTGATAATGGAGCATGGGAAGTACAGTTTCTATGATATAACAGAGTAGAATAAAAGAAGGCAGTTAGGGAATGGATCTGAGATCAAAAGGGCAAATGATTGGCAGTTCACACCTTTTGCTCTTGAGCATTTATTATCTAATGGTTAATTGCTACCACTTGGCCTTTGCCACTCTGGAAGTCCACCATTTCAATGGACACTGGGGAGTCCATCTCATTGGTGATGTTTCCCACCATTATCTCCACCATTCACTGTTATCTTAGGCGCATAAAGGTCAGCCACCAGAGCTTTCTAAAGATGCTTGTGTTGCCCACCCTAGTGTAGTTTATAGAGTTTTAATTAGGAAAAGAATGTCTTTGGTCTGCCAAGAGGATGTAGTCAGGGAAAGGGGAGGTTTGGGTTTGCTCATAATAAAACTTCTCCCACCTCCTGAAGTCTCCATATTATGCCAGAAAAGTACTGGCATTTCGACCTTATTAAATGATTGTAGGCTGATGTTAAAAATCAATTTACAGTCACCCATCCAAGCAAACTGTTAGAGTTAGCTTATTAAATCCAAATCAATCCTATATATGTTCTGCAAGTTCCTGCTAATAAAAGATTAACAAGATCTTGCAATTCTTTTGCTATATAAGCTATTTTCTTTTGGAGCTGACTTTGCATTTCTCCTCCTGTGGCATAGAGAGTTCTGAGTCTATCTATGGCAACAGAAAGTGGGTGAGGTGGGTCTTGCAAAGCCTCTTCTAAGACAGCTGCCTCAGCTGTGGTCATTACTAAGGCTTTAAGCAAGGGAAGGCTAGTTACTTCAGACAGGGAGGAGAGGCCACTTTTGTTGGCAAGGAGTTCACAGTTTTCAGGTTTGTCTAATTCCAAAAGCCCTCATCCCATGTCCTTTCTTCCTACCTAATGTTAAACTGATACATACCATCTTAACATTAGAAACTTGGTGAGACTATTCAACTTGTAATTCTGCATTCCCCATAATTAGATTTTCTGTCTGGTCCGTAGTTTGTCAGCCCTGGGGCTATGAGAAATAAGAGATTCTTTTAAAGGCAGCATAGAAACACTGTTTTTCTATCTTGAGCTGAGATTCTAAGCCCTGAAATGATCATTTTGTTTTTATAAGTTCTCTAGCATAGTAAGATGTAGCCTTCCCACCCCATAGACCTTATAGTAAATAATAATGCCATAATGGTTAAGTGCAGTTGCTATTTCATTTTCCAAAGATTTGTCTTCAACTGGCCCGTTATTCTAAACAACTGCACATGATAATTTAAAAAGTTTGTGATCACCAGTATCCCATTTCTAACTGCAAAGAGGTCTTCATTACATTTAGGCTCACATAAGTCCACCACGCAATATCAGAAACCCATCTTGAGACCATTTCTGATACCAAGAGCAATATTATGTGGTGTCCAGTCAAGACAATAGAAACTACTCTAGGTCTTTGAACAAAAGGACATTAGTAGAGGGAATCATTACACAGGTATTAGAAGAACTGAAAGACAAATAGGGGATGTTAAGCAACTCAGAGGATAGCAATATTAGGAAGCTTCTTTACTCCTAAGGTTGATAAAAGCCAGAACCTTTTAGAGAGACGGCCATGGAAGGAGGGACTACCCAGAAGGATTTGCAGCCACAGGAAGACAAAGATGCTGCTTGAGGTGGACCTAGAGAGTGCGAAATACCCTGCCTGCTTTTCTTCTCCCGGCCTCAAGTACATCGCAAATACCTCTCCTTGGCCGAACCTCGTGAAAAGCCAGTTAGTTGTCAATAGAGCCTGGGAAATGTAATTCCTATGATACAGAGCACAGCTGGAGAAGGGTAGGGAGGGATCTGAGGGCAAACAGGTAAATGACTGGCACAACTTGGAATGCCCAAATGTTAACAACTTTATTCTTATGAGGGGAGGGAGGGAGTGGGCAGGCGGCATGGAGTGATTCTGAAATAAACATTGGAGTTATCTTGAATGTGTAATTAAGGTTGTTCTATGATTTTTTTCTTTAACTATTAAAAGATATTTGTAAATTCTAATTTTGTAAGTATAAGTGTCTTGAAGACATCTGCTTTTCTAAATTTAAATTGGAAATTATGAGTGGAAAAGGGTGTAACTGCTGCTACATTCTGCATTTTAACAGATACATATAGTAATTCAGGATGTTGCCCTTTAGAAATCCTTATGCCTTTTTTTTTTCTTTAAGATTTTATTAGGGAATTGGGGGAGGGGAACAGTGTTGGCTGGTTGGTGAAGGGAACCAGCCAAGTTGTTGTTCTTCAATCTTTGTTGTGGAGGGCGCCAGTCACCATCTGGCTTCCCGTCAGCAGCTCGTGGCCTCTAAGCTCAAGGTGCTGTGTCACAATCTTAGTTGTGGGTGGGCGTAGCCACCATCCCATGCGGGAGTCAAACCAGCAGCCTTGTTGTTAAGAGCACACACTGTATCCACTGAGCTATCCTGGCAGCAGCTCAGGTCAAGGTGCTGAGTTCAGTCTTAGTTGCGTGTGGGTGTAGCCTACCATCGAACAGGCAATCTTGTTGTTACACCAGCTGAGCCATCCTGCCACACCTGTTGGCAGCTCAGCGACAGCTCAGCCTGGGTGCAGCATCACTGGCCCATGTGGGAATCAAATGTGCGGCCCTGTTGCTCAGAGCTCATGCTCTTAAGCCAACTCTTAACCAACTGAGCCACTCGGCTGGCCCGAAATCCTTGTCTTTTATTTGATAATTGCATCGTCTATTTCTAGTCTGGCGTAGTAGCTCAATGCTTTCCTAAATGATACTTTTCAAGCTTTCTCTCTCATCCACCATCTTTTTCTCTCCCACCAGCAATAAATAATTTTGCTTCTCTTTAAACTACCATAACATTTTAACCTCTTTTATAAATCTTATGTCATATGCCTTTCTATAGCATTGAATTCCTTGAGATTAGGGGCCCTATAATATTTGTTTTTATATATTTCACTGTTCTTGACACATAGCAGGTGTTTAATATTATTTAAGGATTAATTGATTAGCTCATATAATTTTAGAATGGGAAAAGACTTTATAAATCATCTAGTTCTAACTCTCTGACCTATCTTCTGTCATGTTACTTCAGGGAAGGATAATAGATAAATCTAGTCATCAGGTATCTAGATATTAGATAAATGAGATATTAGTTAATTAAAACTCCTGCAAGATTGGCACTTTTATTACATTATGCTCTATCAGTAATGTCATAATTAAGAGAAATAATATAGATAATATTTATCAAACTATATTTTGATGTAATTTGGTTCTTGATTATATTCAAGAAATAGAAGGAAAGAATGAATTTTTAACTCCTTACTATGTGTCATGCATTTTTTTCATTTTAAGGTGTGTGACTTATCTGATTAAAACTGATTTTATTGTTATAGGAAGTACATATAAGATTTTTTTGTTTTTATTTTTTTCTGTAGTGGAGTCTCTAAAATAAGAAAATTACTAGTGTCATTTGGTGAGTAAGGCTAGTGCTTCTTTTCCAGTCTTTCAGAAAGTATACATTTATAAATCCTTGTCTGGTAAATATTGATAAATTTGTGTCTCTGAGAAATTTAAATGTTTGGGTGAATGATCTCATAATCTTGGAGACATATTTTAATATTGGTTCATGATATCAGAAATCTGTTTTTAGTTGGCAAGCTATGAGAGCCAGATTGCCAAGCTACGATCCGAGGTTGAAAAAGGAGAGGCATTGCGACAAAGTCTGGAATATGACCTGGCTGTTGCTAGAAAGGAAGCTGGTCTTGGAAGACGGGCTGCTGAAGAAAGATTGGCTGAGGCACATAGGATCCAAGAAAAACTGTGCGGTAAGACCATTTCCATCTCTTCATATGTTTAGGATTGTAGCCTCGTTGTATATCATTGCTCGCTGTTGTGTATTTACTCCATATTGGGTCAGAGGTAGGGTTTTGATTCATTGGCTGGTCTTTGATGGACAGACTTTGCTGGGTGTGTTTAACACCTTCTGAACATTATGTGAATATTCATCTACTTAATTTTTTTATGTTGTGTATGTATGGAAAACAGGGTTTAAAATTCTGCTAATCAATTTTTTAGGGCATTTGTTCTATGAATAATCACAAGAACCACAGAGATTTTTTAAAAAACATATTCTAGGCGTCCTATCACAGATAGTCTGAATTAGAATCTCTAGCTTGAGAGAATCTGTATGTGCAAGAAGCATTGCAGGTAATTTTGTTGATTAGCTAGGTTTCGAAAAGAAAAAGGCAGGTGATTTAATACCCAAAAGTTACCTGTTATATGGCATATGGCTATCTTTTAAAATCTTTTTACTTAAGTGTAATATATGTAAAGAAATATGCCTAGATAAGTGCAAACTGATAACAAGAACCCACATCATGGAATAGAAAATTACCAGAAGCCCCCTTTTTTTTTTTTAGCTGAGCCATCCTGCCAAGAAGCCCTTCTATATCTATAACTATTGTCCTGATTTTTAATAGCAAGGATTATTTTTGTCCTTTTTTGATACTTTATGTGAATGGAATTACATAGTATACTCTTTTGTATCTGGCTTTTTCCTTCAACATTGTGTTTGTGAGTTCATCCGTAATCTATGAACTTCATATTGATGTTTAGTATTGTATTGTGTGAACATATCGCACTTACACTTATCTATTTACTATTGATGGGCATTTGGGTAGTGCCTGGGTTTTAGTTATTGAGAATAATGTTGCTATGAATATTTTTGTACACAGGAGGTTTTAATTAAGAGAGCAATGATCATGAATTCAGATTTAGATTTGAGCCTGGCTCTACCACTTGTTTACCAATATTTGAACCTACATTGTCTTAAGGATGAAATAAGAAACTGAAAGTGCTTTGTTAACTGCATGGTTAACACACTGCAAAGATTAAGTTACAAATATTGCAAATGTCACGAACCCTAGACTTGGCCAGCTGTCTTGGGTTATTGCCATTGGTCAGAAGTATTTTTTATTACCTCTGGCATTTAATAACTACACCACTACCTGGAATTTAGGAGTAAAGGATTGCAAGTCACTAGATATACAAGTTAATGATTTTCATTTAATTGTTAGGAAATTGAAGTTCAGGGAAGATGGGAATTTTGCCCAAAGTAAAATAATTTCAACAGACACATTTTAGAGTAAATGGAGGAATGGCCGTTAATCACATGTTTCACCTTGCTTATCATTAGGAAAATGCAAATTAAAAACCACTGTGACTGTCACTACATACCCTGGTGGCTCTAACTGAAAAACTGTTAAGATCAAATGTTAGTGAGGATGCAGAGCAACTGGAGCTCGTACACATCGTTAGTGGGAGAGTAGAATGGTACTAGTTTGGAAAAAACCCTGGCAATTTCTTTTAAAATAAACATACCTTTATCCTATGACTGAACCGTTTCACTGTTTGGTATTTCCCTGTGAGAAACATTTGTCCATGAAAGACTTGTAAACCAATTTCATAGCAGCTCCTTCATGACAGCCTAAATTTGAAGAACAAACAAACAAAGAAACCTCAAATGTTCTTTGACAAGACAATGAAGAAACAATTTGTGTTATATTCATACAATGAAATACTACTCAACAATAAAAATGAACCAACTACTGATACATGCTATAACATGAATGCTTCTCAAAAACATTATGCTGAGTGAAACTTTACACACAAGAGGACATCCTGTATGATTCCATTTATATGAAGTTCTAGGACAGAAAAGACTAATTGTTGGTGAAAAAGAAGTCAGAACAGTGGCTGCCTCTGTGATGGGTTGGCTGTGAGGATTGACTGGAAAAGGTATGAGGAAACTTTTTGGGTTAAAGGAAATTTCTATATTTTTATGGGGGTCTTGGTTACATGAGTGTATGCATTTGTCATATCTCTGAATGGTACACTTAGGAGTTGTGCATTTCATTGTATGTAAATTTTACCTGCAAAAAGTAAAACTATTTTGAATTCTGGTTACTGACATGAATACTGAATTATTTAGGAGTGAAATGTACTTACATTTGTAACTTGTTTTGAAATGCATAAATAAGTAGAATGATCTGATGGATGGATAAGTGAATGGATGCATAGGTAGATGGATGAATATGCGATAAAGCAAATATAGCAAAATGTTAGCAGTCAGAGTCTAGGTGGTGGGTTTATGGGTGTTCACTGTACAATACTTTCAACTTTCTGTATTTTTGAAAATTTTTATGATAAAATGTTGAGGGGAGAGTAAAAAACAACCTAATGGAGTTGTGAGATATTAAAAAAGATAATCTTATAACGATTGAGAAAATAAGAGGTGTGATAAGAAAGAAAATTTCGGAAGCTGGAAAGCAAATGGATAAGGGATAACTGATTTAGCAGACCTGAGATGTTAGAATCTTAAACCCGGAGGGGGAAAGTTTGCATACAGCTTGTTAAAGAGTCAAAAGACTTATGACCTGGAAACACGAGGTACCTTTGGAATTAGGAATTGGAATAACAGCAGTGGGTAAAATAGAGTGAGAGGAAAACATTTGTTCTAGAAGCAGTTATGTTCTGAGATCCCCTTACCAAAAGCATGCTACTCTGGGATTATTCTCACGTGGTTGGCTTGATTTCTGGAGGTGGTAAAATAGAGGGTCCCTAGACTGACAAAAATAGGAAGATAGCACACTCAATGCTGAATATTGAGGAACTATTCCTTCCAGCTTTCTTTTTCTATTAGCTTCCCCAAAAGCTATCACCAGACTTCTGCACTCCATGTAGGACCCTGGAAGACTCTTCTATGTGTCATCTGACCAAGCCAAGAATAAAAACCTAATGATACTGATGTTGGGGTTTCCTAATAAATGGCCCCAGTCAGATTCTCCTCCGGTGAAGACCACGGGTGTTAAGATCCACGCTCAAGCTCTGAATCTATGTTGTAGGTATATGGGTGAATAAAAGGTGTGTCACCCTTATAGTTACTCTTAATTGAGAGCAGACAACCAAAAATTACTAGATACTTAGGGAAAGCTCCTAAAATGGAGAGAAAAAAAATTAACTTGAAAGAATCAGAAACCCTGCAGGCAGAAGATTTAAGAAACAAATAGCATTAATATCCTCAGAATTGAAAGAGAATGTATGCCATTTGTGAGGCAAGAACCAGATCCCACACACAAAAAAAGAAGCTCTCAGAAATTAAAAATGTGAAACCATAAATGAGAAATGTCAATAGAAGCAATGGAAGGTGAAGATAGAAGAAATCTCCCAGAAATTAGTGTAAAAAAGACAGAGGTATAAATATAGGAAAGAAAAGAAGATTTGAGGACCAATCTGAACAATAGGGAATATTGAAAGAAAGAGATGAAAAAAAATAGGGAGGGATAAGTCATCAGTGAAATTATTTAAGAAAACATCTCAGAATTAAAGGTTATGAGTTGCCAGCTTGAAAGGGCCCATTGAATACCACAATGGAAAGAAATACACCCACTTGAAGGCAGAGCGCTATGAAATTTCAGAAAAGTACAGGAAAGAGAAGATCCTGAAGCTTTCAAAGAGAAAAGAAAAGGAAAGGAAAAGGAAGAAGACTAAGCCACATGTAGGGGGCCAGAAATCAAAATGGCCTCAAACTTCTTGTTGCAATACAGGATGTTAGACCACGATAATGTCTTGTAGAGAGAGTGACTGGATGGGAGGGAGACTTTTTGTACCTTACATACCTTTAAATTTTGAACCTTTGGGATATATGATCCATTCAAAATACAGCTATAATTTAAAAATACTACTACTAACTGTGGTATTGTTTTTTGTTTAACAAGTGCGTTTGTATGGATTTCTTCATTTTTATTTTCACTAAAACTTAACTAGGAGGCATTTTATTCTGAGCATCAGAGAGGTTTAACCAGGTGATAGGTGATGGAGCCCAACCTGGAAGCTTTTCATTACTTCTTTTCTAAATGCTGAAACAGGGCAGCAGCCCTAATAGAGAGGTGCTGGTTATTTTTGAGGTAATACTAGGGTGAGAGGGGATTGAGCCTAATTTGGGGGGAGTAAATAGCTATAGTTCTGCGGGTTGGAGCAGTGGTTCCCAACCTCAATTTTGTGAGTCTTACGTGTAAGATTTGTTACAACTAATTTGTTGCCAAGAGTCAACTATCAAAATTTGTAATCTAGCAAGTCTTTTAAAAAAAGTAGCCCTATATGTCACAGTCTTTTTAAAAAAACATTTCATGTATTATCTTGAATAGGATAAAAAAGTAGTAGAGTTGCAGCTGGTGCGAGAGGCACACCTAAAGCTGGACACGGCTTTGGGACTATGCCGTCCCATTTCATGGCAAAATTACCTTTGCCTGGAGGGGAAGAAGAGATCGAGAAAAGAAATGATACAACAGAGGGGTTCTGGGATAGTGAGCTTTTCAAGAGTTTACTGGTGTGCAGTAAGAAATGAAATCAGAACCAAAGCATAGGCTTTTGAACTCCTAGGGATTTAATTTATGGCTGTAAATATACCTGTTATTTTCTTATATTTTTAATAGCTCAGAATACGGAACTTCAAGGAAGGGCAAATGAGATTGAGAATGCATTTCAGACTTCCCAACAGAACTGGAAAGACGAATGCAGAAGATTTGAATGTGATTTGGAGGAAAGAGATAATATAATTCAGAATTGCAATCGAGAATATGATTTACTTATGAAAGAAAAAAGCAGACTGGAGAAAACTCTACAGGTAAAATATTTTTATAAAGGAATTTTGCTCTATATAATATTCATTGAGATGTGTTATACATTATTTGAAGTTATGCTTTGAAAGGAAAATAACTACCAGAAAGCAAGAAATTGACTTTCTCCTTCCCTTCCTCCCTCTCTTCCTTTCTTTTTTACTTTTTAGTGACATTTTTGTGGGTCTCTATTGTAATATGCTTTAGAATATATTAATATGTATGCTGTTTCTTTTGTGAAAAACAATTTGAGATCTCTGATAAAAAAAACAACCAAAAAAACACTTAAATGAGCATATTGTAAGAAGATAAGAGCCTATAGCACTTTTGGCTCAGTAGCATGAATATTTGGAATTTTAGAAATGTGGGCCCTAGATTTGGTCTGAATATACAGTAAATATGGGAAAATATTTACATATCTGATGTATGCCTCATTATCTATATAGAACTCATTCTTTTTTTTTTTCTTTTTTCTTTTTTTTAGCTGAGCCATCCTGCCACCTGTTGGCAGCTCAGTGGCAGCTCAGCTCAGGCCGGGCATTGAACCGCTGTTGCTCAGAGCTCAAACTCTTGAGCGAGCTCTTAACCAACTGAGCCACTCGGCTGGCCGGGAACTCATTCTTTATAGACATCATGTGTAAAAAATTTGGTGGCCTTTTACTGGAATTATTGTGAGCTATTTATTCTCCCATTTTTTGTTCTTTTTTACTCTCCATAGTGAGAGTATGGCTTAAGGTTGAGGTTCCCAGCCACATGTAGGTTACATATAATCGATGTACTTAGTTTTTGTCTCTTTATCGTATAATGCATTTTGTTCAAGCCTCTAAAGTTAAAATTTTCAGAAAAATTGGTTTAAATATTGGGTTGTTGGAAAAGTCACGACGCATTTTTGCAACGAAAAACAGAAAAAAATGCGTCATGACTTTTCCGAAACCCAATATATACATATATATATGTACAATATGTTGCTTAAATTAAATGGGTAAACATAGCTTCTTATTCAGATTTATATTTCGATGATCAAAATTTAATAGTTTTATTAATGATTTTAAAACAAATTATAATGAGTTTTCACAGAATAGGTTAAGGAGAGCCTTTGTACATTTAAATTGGGGATGAAGGAAGAAAGATAACTTTTATTGATCTAATAGTAAAGCAAGATTTTATTTGTATAAAGGAAGCGTTGGAAAAACATCAGCAGGAGAAGAATGAGATGGAGTCTCATATCAGGGAGACAGCATTGGAGGAGTTTAGATTACAAGCAGAGCAATGGGAAGCAGAAAGAAGAGAGTTACAATTTATAGTACAGGTATTTGAAAAATAATAATACAGTTCCTTAAATATGTCTTTTTAATGCTTATGATACTGAGAATCACATTAGTGAGATACTTGACTGGATAACTCAAGGGGAATATAATTCCTGGTCTTTGATCTCTGGCAGGCCATGTTTCATTTGTAGTTACATGACAATATGTGCAACTTACCAACAAATATCATTAGAGTTGGGTGATTTCCATTGCATAAATTATGTGATTTTTGAGAAGGGTGTGTGTGTGTGTGTGTGTGTGTGTGTGTGTGTGTGTGTGTGTATTTGATATTTTATTATTACGTGTGAAGAAGAATATGGGAACATACTCTATAATTACTGCCATCTTTTGTAAGATAAATTTTATATTATTTTGTAACTGAAATGTTCAGAGCTCTGTCTCAGTTTCTTGTCCTTTCTATATTAACCAAAGAAAACTGCTTTACCTTTTATAAAACAAGAAACTATATATAAAAATCTATGTATAGAAAAAGTCTTTTGTAAACAACTTCAGGGATAAATTGAAATTCTCTCTTTATTGGCTGTTGATGGGTATAGGTTTTCATCTGTTAATTAGTTGTTCGTATCATGTTATGTTCTCTTTGTGTAGCTCTCTAAGGAATTCAGTTTTTAAAATAAGTTATAAAAAACAAGTTAAACCCCATCTTTAACAGAAAGCTGGTGTAATATTTCTCTCATCTGGGCTTTATAATTCATACCCACTATAAAAAGCAAAATCTTAATTTTATGCGATGTCCCCTTTGTTTCCCAGTAATTTAAGTGTGAAATAGAAGTGTACTTCTCTGGAATATTAATGGGAATTCTTAGTGGAGTTACCTCATTTTAAAATAGTGTTTCTCAATTTTAAAAAATAGGTTACCTCTTTTGACAAACATAAAAATTCTATGTCTTTCTTCAGCATTATTTGAAATTTCAGAACAAATCTAAGCCATGGTAATTCTAGAACAAAATATTTATGCTGATCTTGAAAAAATGTGTATATGTTATTTTGTTTTATTTTTATCTCTTTATTTAAATTTTTTATGTACAATGAACATTTCTTTTTTGTTTTTTTTGTTGTTTTTTTTTTAGCTGAGCCATCCTGCCACCTGTTGGCAGCTCAGTGGCAGCTCAGCTCGGGCCATGAATCAAACCGGGGACCCTGTTGCTCAGAGCTCAAACTCTTGAGCGAGCTCTTAACTAACTGAGCCACTCGGCTGGCCTGCGAACATTTGTTTTGTTTTTATTTATCTTTTTCTTCATTCCTGCAATAGCAGTGTGAACTTTGAGGATGTTTATTCGCATAAGCTTTTCTACCGTAGGCAGTGTGGGACATGCAGTGGGAAAGCATTGTTTATAAACCGCCATGCCATTTCCTTTATCATTTTTCCAGTTCATTTCAATGTATAATTTATCAGTAAGATTGCAAGCATTTGGAAGATGAATTTATATGTTTTTCGTATTTATTTCGTTTCCAAAATTCTACAACTCAACCGGGGAATAAAATGATCCTTTCCTCATTCATTGACTAAATTTGATTTATGTATCTAGCAATTAAGGAGTGTGAGAGTTTGTGATGGCAAAGAGGGTGGGAAATAAGATAGAAAAATCATACCATAAACTGAAGAGGAAGAGTTGGAAGGCATCAGGATAGGCTTAGGCATCAGTAGACTGTATAATAAGGCAGCAGTTAAGGAGGGAAGCACTGGGGTGCAGCGTGTCAGAGATTGACCTGGTAAGCACAGTTGTGATCCACGGATAGCTTGGAGAAAGTCACTGCAAAGGAAGTGTTTAGGAAGTTTTCCCTTAAATGATCTAGGCAACAAGGAGCATTTCTTTGTGGTTCCTGGGGAACTGTCCCCTGGTGTCCTATATAAGCAAATGGCATACATAGAAAATGGCACGGGTACTACTTGTTTTTTTCAAACACGAAATATCCTTTTTTCTTTTTCTTTTTGTGGGGGTTGGGAACTGTGTTTTTCTAGGACCCATCAGCTCCAAGTCAAGTAGTTGTTTCAATTTCGTGGTGGGTGTGGGGATCAAACCAGCAGCCTTGGTGTTATGACGGCTGTGTTGTAACTAACCGAACTAACCAGCCACCCCAAACAGGAAATATCTTAATATTCAATTTATAAAATCACTATGTATTGTTACCATTGTTAAAATGCCCCTAATTTAAGGACATTTAAAAGCAGAAAGTGAAGGTCTTGCCCCCTCCCCTTCCAACCCTACTTATCTGAGGATATATAAACATATTATTGTATTTACATAAATGAAATTATATGCCTCAATAACATTTGGTGTCCATCTTTTGATGTCTTCACATTATTCTTGCACTGTTTGCATGGTTTTCTGTTATGTGGAAGTTCCTATTACATTTAAGGAATACCTTATGGATGGACATTTTATTTTCTTTAAATTTTTCTGCTCTAGTTATAAGTGATTCGCTTACATTCTTGTCTATATCTCTGAGCTGTTGTAGAAGTGATTCAGCTATGTTAATGCCTAGAAGTATTGCTGGGTCTGCAAGCTTATGGATTTATAATTATGATAGGTATTATACAAAGTTAGTACTAGTTTATAATCTACAGCAGCAAACCATTTTTGATTGTAGAACTGTGCTGGCTTTGGGGATTTAGAGAGGATGAGCTTGTTTTGGCTCTTTCAGGACATAACTATGTACTAGATTAAGGTTGTAACTAAGTATATTGATATATTTTATAGGCTAGGCTTTCTCTTTTGATACATTTCTAACTCTGCTTCTATAATTCTTCAGAACTGAAACCATGTTTTGGGGTCTGAGAAATGTTGTTTATATGAGTACATATGAAGAATATTACTTTTTGGGCTATGTTTCTGGAAGATGTGGAAAGATGCAAGTTTATTTTCTAACAGCACAATGTGGTTTCCTGTGATGTTAAATGTCAACTCAAAAACAAGCCTCATTTTAAAATATTTTAAGTTCAACATCTCCCTCTAGTGGAAAAAAGAAAAACTCCCTTAATTTCCAATGTCCTTAATATGATTTTGTTTCTGTCTCTTACCTTTTTACTGTAAGGTTCCAGGTAGCTTTTGCTTTGATTAGAATAAATTCTGTGACAAAAGTTTAAAAATTTATTTGGAAGGACACAAATTAATCTTTAAAAAAAAAAGATTTTTATTAAAAAATATATAGCTAACATAGAACATTATATCAGTTTCAGGTATGCACTGTAGTTGCTCAACATTTATATACCTGAAGAAGTGATCACCATGATAAGTCCAGCAACCATCTGACACTGTACCAGCTATCACAATATTATTGACTATATTCCCTATGCTGGACATTATATCCCCATGACTTATTTGTTTTATACCTGGAAATTCGGACCTCTATTACACTTCACCTTCCCTCTCCCTTTTACATTTTTCAATGATAGTTGACATTCAGTGTTATTTGATATTAATTTCAGGTGTACAGCTTAGTGGTTAGACATTTATATAATTTAGGAAGTGATCCCTCTGACTAGTACGCACCTGGCACTATACATAGTTATTACTGTGTTAGTCATTATATTCCCTATGCTTACTTTACATCCCCATGACTATTTTGTAACTACTAGTTTGTACTTAATCTCTTCACCTTTTTCACCCTGTCCCCCAACTCCCCTCCCATCTATTACCCTGATAAATCTCGTACCCACCTGACACCATACACGTTATTACAATATAATTGACTGTATTTCTTATGCTATACCCTACATCCCCATGACTACTGTGTATTATAACAGCCAATTTGTACTTCTTAATCCCTTCCCCTTTTTCACTCATCCTGAAACCCCCTCCCATCTGGCAACCATCAATATGTTCTCTGTATCTATGAGTTTGTCTCTGTTTTGTTTAGTTTGTTCTTCAGATTCTACATATAAGTGAAATCAGAGTGCATTTGTCTTTCTCTGTCTGACATACTCCACTCAGCACAATACCCTCCAGGTCCATGCATGCTGCCACAGATGGCAAGAACCCATTCCCATCCATGGCGAGCAATATTCCATTGTATATATGTACCACCTCTTCTTTATGCATTTATCGACAGACATCCAAGCTACCTCCACATCTTGGCCATTGTAAACAATGCTGCAATGAACATGTGGATGCAAACGTCCTCTCAAACTAGTGTTTTGGGTTTCTTCAGATAAATACCCAGAAGTGAGATTACTGGGTCCCTTTTGTCTCTTGTTATAGCCTTTGTTTTAAAGTCTATTTTATTTGGCATAAGTGTTGCTACCCCAGTTTTTTTTGTTGTTCTGTTTCCATTTTCATGAAATAACTTTTTCCATCCCTTTGCTTTCAGTCTCTGTGTGTCTTTCAATCTGAAATGTCTCTTGTAGGCAGCATATGTAAGGGTTTTTGTTTTCTTTTTTTTTTTTTTTAAGATTTTTATTGGGGAATTGGGGGAGGAGAACAGTGTTGGGGAATTGGGGAAGGGGACCAGCCAAGTTGTTGTTCTTCAGTCTTCGTTGTGGAGGGCACCAGTCGCGATCTGGCTTCCTGTTGGTAGCTTGTGGTCTCTAAACTCAAGGTGCTGTGTTCAATCTTAGTTGCGGGTGGTCGTAGCCACCATCCCATGCGGGAGTCAAACCAGCAGCTTTGTTGTTAAGAGCACATGCTTTATCCACTGAGCCATCCAGGCGGCAGCTCAGCTCAAGGTGCCAAGTTCAGTCTTAGTTGCAGGTGGGTGTAGCCACCATCCCATGCGAGGGTCAAACCAGCAGCCTTGTTGTTAAGAGCACACAATTTATCCACAGAGTTGTCCGTGCGGCAGCTTAGCTCAAGGTACCAAGTTCAGTCTTAGTTGCGGGTGGGCATAGCCCACAATTGAACAGACAATCTTGTTGTTACACCAAGTGAGCCATCCTGCCACCTGTTGGCAGTTCAGCAACAGCTCAGCTCAGGTGCAGTGTCACTGGCCCATTTGGGAATCAAACTGGCAGACCTGTTGCTCAGAGCTCTTAAGCCAACTC